TGCTCTACCCTTTTTGCTAAGGTGATGACTGTGGCTGCCGCATACACAAGGAGTGAGCTAATTGGTCGGCGGGGGCCAGGTAGGGAGAGTGCCATCTTTTCTGAAAGGTGACATCAAATGGCTGGATGAAGTGGCTGGAGCCAAAGATGAATGGGGTGAGTCACAGAATTTAATATGTGGACCAGAGGGATCTGTTGTGAAATCTCATTGCACAGCTAATTAATCGGCCAATTTGGCCAATAACTTGAGCGTTTTCTTCCTACGTGTCCAATCTGCATGTGCACGTGCATGTGTGCGTGTGTTTGTGCTCAAACACAGCCTTGTGTAAACTTGAGACTTTGAGAATCTGAGACTGTCAGGTCTGGTCAGAGCTTTTCCTACCAGAGTCTCACCTGGGAAAACAGAGGGTGAGAAAGATGAAGAGGTCTTCCAGCTGGTTAGTGTGGGAGACAAGACCAGGCCAGGTGCTCATCATCCTGTTAAACCACACAGCAGCCATTAGCTAATTTATCTCTCATTTCCTCCCACAGAATGACCCAGAATTCAACTTGGATTAAGATTAAACAGACTACACTTCATCAGCTTTTTATTTTTCACTATTTTTTTCCTGGCCTTAACTTTCTCCTCCCTTGAGTCTTCTTCCTTCTCTTCCATTTGTAGAAAATGTTCTCCGCACATTTTCTTTTGTATAGTTGGGTTTTTTTAAGATTTTATTTATTTCCTTTTGTATAGTTTTCATGTCATCTCATCTATGTGGTTAATTCCCTCATCTGGATGCTTGCTTGAAGGAGGGTTTTGTGTTTTTTTTTGGCTTGGGCATCCATTTCCTGCCTATGAGTGACAACAGAGACTGCCTCCCAAAATGCCCCACGGTGCCGATAAGAGGAGCTGGCAAAGGGCAAGACAGAAGCCACAAGGAGGGGTAGAGAGTCATCCAGGCTCAAGGAAATCCAGCCACCTGCATGCATGGCAGGATTCTGATATCGGACAGGTGAGCTAAGGATTCATTCTCAGCATCCATTCGTCATGAGGAAAGTAATTGATATCTGGGGACCCGGGATGGCTACCTTGACTCATAACAGCATTGGACTAAGAGGTAACATAGGTAAATTGACTCTTTACAGTGTTTCTCCAACATCTGATGGGAACCTGGACAGCAATGGTTAAGATGTCTAAATATGAGGTCAAAGTATGCAAAAATTATTCTGTGGTCTGAACAGGAAGAACATCACTCACACTAGAGACCCCTTCCACCAGCTAAGAAGTTGGCTTTGAGAGCACATGGCATCGTTCTAACTATGTGTTGTTAAACTTAGACAGGTTTGCTCTTCGGGGACCCTGCAGCCTGTTAGGCTACGAGAGGTGGTGATGCCTGGTGAGAGAGAGGAGCACATGAGGGCCCATCAGGCTTCTTCCAACTTTGGGAGTCTGTGGATGGCACCTTCCCACTAGTTATCATTATTTGGTGCCAGGCAAGCATTTTTATAAATGGAGATTTAGCAGATGGTATCCATTTAGAAAATAGGTCAGAAGAGCCACTGCCTTCTGAAACAAACAAACAAAGCAAAAGGAGTAAAACGCAGAAAAATGGTAAAGAGCCTTTGTGACTTCTAAGCTCTAGGTGTGTTGTAAGCAGCCTAACAAGACAGTGCATCTGTCTGCAGGGCAGAGGGCTTGGAGAATGGATGCTTTTCCAAGCAGGAAAGAAGAAATGGAGCGTGCCGCTAAATGAGGGCTCTAATTTCTGTCTCCATAACGGTAATGGCTTCCATCAGCTCTGATCTCAGGGAATGCTCAAAGTCCTCCCCTGACTTAGCTCCTAAATCTGGTCCTCAACGGGCTAAAGGGTGACATCTCTATATAAGTTGTATCTATTTCAGAGACGACTAGCTCCTGTGAAAAAGGACACTGGGATGCTAAGGGAGTGAATCCAGAATGGAGAAGGAAAGAGACGGAGGGAGAGAAGCTCTGAGAAGCTGGGAGGAAATTATGCTTTTTTTTCCAAGCAGGACCCTCAGTATCATTCATGGAAGCGACACCTTAACTGAGGTAAAGTCTCTGGAAGGTCTCTCAGACCTTCAGCCTCACACCTTTGAATGGGATTTGGTGCTCTCTGGAGCGTATCAGAAATAGAGGGAACATTTAGAATAGAGGCGAGGAGAGGCCAAAGCTTGGAAGGGAGGTGACCGATTCAGAATCTGATCTGCTCCAGAAAGATATCCAACAAGATGTGCAGGGACAACAGACACAAGTCATATAGACACAGAAGCTACCAACGACTATGAGTCATTAAAATGTCGAAGAGAGAATTAACTCCTGTAACACAGAGGTAGGCACAAAGCAGTGGCGAAAATAACTGCAAGAAGCGCAGGGCAGTAAGAACACAGACGGAAGCCTGTCCATGTTGATGTTTCCAGGGGGATGGCTAGAAAAAGTTGGGCCTTAAGGGGTCCTTTTACACTGGTTGGGAATTGAATAAAGGGATGTCATCTTTCCTTAATTACTCTCTCTGCAATCATCACATCATCACTGTGCAGCTGCCTTAGGGAGAGGCTTGTAAATGGAGAATGGTTGGGTATCTGAGAGGAAGGGCTATGGTGGGATGTACGAGCACCGGGCCAAGGACCAGGACCTGTGTGTTCTAGACTTGGCGCAGCTACTGGGTGGCATGCGGTCAATTGCAGTGTGGTGGCCAAAGCCCGGGCTTGTTACCATCCGAAGCCATGGCTTTCTAAACCTGAGCAGGTCACTTGATCTCTGAGCCTCAGTGTCCCGGTGTGTAAAACAGGAATGGAAATACCTCTCTCTTCTAAGATTGTAGGGTAAGTGTTATGAAGAAAGGATGTAAAATGGTTTTAAGAACTGAAACATACTATACAAAGAGGTCTGGCCTAATCCTGTCGGTTACAGGTGGTAGACATTTCCACAAAGAAACAGAACACCAATGCTGAGGGCTCATATAACAGAGTTAGGCCTCGTACCCAATTCTTAGGTTGAATCCACCTTTTTTTTTAGGACTCACAACTGTCACGATGCCTGTTTCTTTCCTCCTGATATGGCCAGATGAAGAACTGTTAAGAAGATGGGGAGAAGAAGGGGAATTTTGAAGAAAGCAATGGCCACCATAGGAGCGCCAACCCCGAGAGAGCTGTATGGTTAGAGGGCGGGCACCTTCCAAGACGGCGCACAGGGCTCAGAGAGGGATCTCTAGCTGGGAACTCTCGTGAAGTGAACCAGCACCCAGAAATCCAGTCCAACCACAGAGAAAATCTCGGTAAGACTGCCAAGAAACCTGACCAGCAACAATGGATAGAGGTTTCAGCTTCTGAGATCTCGCTTCTCAGGTCTGGTAAGTTAGGATCCTTGCTTCTAGGTTCTTAGCAATAACATGCCACCATTCTTTTTTTTTGCTAAATAGTGCCAAGAAAGTACAAAAAGTAAGAAGACCCTCTGTGCATGGCTGGTTTTGGACCCAAGCTTTAAGGTCACTACACTGGATGAGAAAGCAACAGCTTTTCTCGCCTAAAAGTTTAATCTGGTCACTCCTGTCCAGGGGGGCTTAACTTGGGCTTTGCATAGCAAACAAGTCCCTTCAACAAAGTCTGATGACGAGAAACAGGGATACCCGGGTAAGAACACCCTCTCTGGGCAAACCTGAAGTGTGGAACATTTATCACCTTCCACAGGAAACATCACTGCTAATTGATCTCTTCATTAGCCAAGGAGAACATCAACCACTATAGCAACTCACAGGCTAGCGGCAGTTTGGGGCAATCCTTAAGTGCTTTCTAACTCATAATCATATTTCTTCTGAAGTCTGCTGGCCTAGAAAAATGACTCTAATTCCTCATGAATACACTGCCCTCACCCTCACTAATGGTGGACTCCCCTGGAAGGAAGATGGCGAGCAAAGGGTGCACATCACCAAGAGAAGAGACGGGTGAACCAGCGATGATTCGTCTTTAAAACCAGGCTGTGGCCGGAATGCTTTGTATTATCCGGGGGTAGCAGGTAGCATGAGCAATCCTTTTAGCTTCTGCAGCTCCTAGGAAAGGAGCGTCTGCTCTTTTCCTCATGAACAACTGGTCTGTTCTCTAAGATTCTTTCACTTACGTGATGTGTGGACAGGGACCAAGGGATACTTAGGCAGAAGTGTCAGGCTTCGGTGGCAAGGAAGGTCTGTGTGGGCGGGAAAGTTAGCAAGAAATCCTGCCAGCAACTGACAAGGAATGAGCTCTTTCTAGTAGCAACCAGTGCTTCAAGTTTAGAGATCAGTGGGCAAAATCCCATTCCCAGCAGACATGTCAAGAGACACAGCAGTAAGGTTCCCATGGGGGACAGGAGGCGTGTAGCACCCTTCGGCCAGGCTCCCTCCCCTTCCTGCAGGGAAATCATGAGCCAGGGCTTCACTCTGGGGGTCTGTCCAGGGCAGCTTAGCAAATGCCCACAGACAAAGACAGGACAATAGAGCCTGGAGCGATGGCTCCCTCATTAGCTATGCTGGAGGCTTCACTGGTCAGTAGGTTCCAGTGGCTCTGCTGGAGACTTCTCCCTCTGGGATGTGAGACTTCTGGAGGTGGCATGCCAGAAGGATGCGATAGTACTCCTACCCAGCTTTGACGTTCTTGGGATCTTGTTGGCATTTTGGAATGAGTTTCAGAGGTTTTACCCAGCTAGCAAACTGCACCGTCAGATCAGATGAGGACCTAAGACCAGCATCTTTAATAAAAGGCATAAATGTAGTGGGTGTGGTTGGCGTCTAGGTAGCTACTGGGGGTGTCTCTGGGCCCACGGTTCCCAGACAATGACTCTGACAGAGGAAAGACTGTAAATGCCGAATAAAAAATGTATCAAATGTGCAAGAATGCCCATTTTCACTTGGTTCCTACCCCTCTGCAAATCGGTGGATGCAATGTGCCCGCGATGGCAGCCTCCGGAGGAGCAAAGGCCAGCGATTAAATGATAAGAAAGCCCAAGCCTGTGGAGCAACGTGGCCTTACCTGGTGACAGGGAAGACTCGTAGGAGCTTCTCTCCTTGCGATTCATCTTGAAGGCCTGGATGTCCTTTTCCCTGTATGTCCCAAAGCCCTCGTAGCTCCTCCTTTTACTCCCGCTCATGTCACTGTCCCACTTGTCATTTGAAGGGTTCATGTCACTGAACACGTCCAGGCTCTCGGGTCTGGTGCCGCTGCCATCGCCACCGCTGCCGGAGTACCTTTTTGGGCATGAGTCCACAGGCTCGCCGCCCAAGTCGCCTTTGTCCTTGGCCTGGGTCCAATGCTGGGCATCGGAAAGTGACAGTGTAGACAGGGTGTCCACCTCAAAGTTGTTCTTGGAAGCTTTGTGGCCGGCTTCACTGTGCTGGTGCTTCTGCTTCTCTTTCGGCTTATTCTTCTCGCCCACCAACGGGAGCTCCTTGTCCGCACCGCCCAGCCGCTCGCTCAGGATGTGGCTGGAGAAGCCCGTGGCTTTGCCCGCGAAGAGACCGCTCAGGTTGTCATGGGTCCCCAGGATCCGGTCTTCCTTGTGCTTATGCTTGTGTTTGTGTTTTCTCTTGTGGAGCCGACCGCTGGCCAACCCCGCGCCGCCCGCCTTGGGAGGGTTCAGGGCTGGCTGCCTGTCCCCGAGGCCCATGCCGACAGGCCCCTGCAGGTGGACTCCGTGCTTCGCTTTATGCTTCGCTGTCCCAGACATCTTCACGTGGGAGCTCGTGTGGAACTGAGGAGGTGGCACCGTCGGCCTCATGAACGGGGACGCGGCTCCGAGCGTGTGCGAGAGGTACAAGGGAGCTGGGTACTGACTGTAATAACCCAGGTTCATCATAGGCATTGATGTGTAAGGCATTCCATAGGGTGCATAGTAACTTCCACTGGGAATAGGGTAGCTGAACCCTTGTAAAAAAGGCACCTTTGTCATGGTGTCATTGGTTTTTGCGGGCCTACCACGCTTCTTCTTGGACTTCAGGTCTGAGGTCCTGCGAAGATAGAGCAAGGGGTCATACTGGATATATGGCACCGGGTAGTAGTGATCAAAATTAATCCGGAAAATGCTGGGGTACGGATTCTCGTGGTAGAAGGTGTAAGTCCGGTGGGAGATCCTGAACACCTGGAACTTGGTGACGAGCTCCTCCAGGTCCGCCAGAAACTGCAGGTCGTCACGGTTCTGCAGGCTTTTCCGTTTCCTCTTGTGCTTTGGCTTCTTGAGGCTCTCGTGGGCCAGAAAGTTGTCCACCATGAGATGCTTCTGCCGGTGGCCGTGCCGGGTCTTCGTGCTGGTGTCAGACGGAAGGGTCTCCGGGTTGTCCAGGGAGCAGAAATCAAAGGAGTACCTCCGTCGGGATTCCGAACTCTTCTCCGCTTGGTCAGACGTGCTGTTGTTGTCCGTCCCGATGCCACTGTCGCTCGGGATCGTCTCCTCGCTGTGCGACTCACTCACAGGGGACAGGGTGATTTCCTTGAGTGACCCGATCTCGCAAAGGTGGGAAGGCGAGTTGGCCATCAGCCTGGGCGGGGACAGCTTCCAGGCTCCACTGTGGATTCCCTTCTGGGTTTTGGTTGGAAGAGCACTGATGGGCTGGAGATTTGGCATAGTTTTCAACTCTGAAAAATTGGTTTCGGTGCTGGCGGGGCTCAGGTTGCCATTGGACCCACCCAACTGCGTCGAAAGTGGGTGCATAGCTGCTGGTGAAGACGCCACAAGTGACTGAAAGTTGGAAGGCACGGCTGGAACGTCCGGCTGGCTAGAAACAGGCCTAGGGTGCTTGATGGCTGTTTTGGGTTCCTCGGATGGGGGTGGCAGCTCTGCTCTTGGCTTCCTGCCCCGCTTCTTGCCGATGTAGATGGTTCCCCTCTTGCTGACATTGATCTGTTTGCCCAATTTGCTCTCGATGGCCGCCGCCCCCGGGCTGGTCTCCGGGGGAGCTTTGGCCTTCAGAGCAATGTTGCTGGAGCAGGATAAGATCTGGTTCAAGATATTTTTCCTTTTGAGTGTTTTCATCTTGTTGATGGTCTTGATGGTCTTCTTATCCAGTACCCCAAGCTTTCCAACTTTTTTGTGAAATTTCATCTCGCTCATGGGCTTGTCCTCTCCTGGCACCAGCTGGGCCAACTTAGCTAAGCTGCGTCGTCTCTTTCTTTTCTTCGTGCCGGGGAACTCCCGGCTGATGGGACTGACCGGACTGGTAGAAGTCCCCTCGTGAATCGTCTCCACCGTGAGCAAAGGCTGCTTCTTCGGCCGCCCCCGCTTCTTCTTGACGGGCGTGATCACAGTAAGACTGTCTGTGTTGGTGTACAGAGGGCTGGACGGGGTGATGGGGTAGGCGGACGGTGGTTCCACCATCAGTTTATCGGACGTGGCCATGACTGCCTCCCGGAGCATACTGGTGGGCTTTGGTTTGCTGCACGTCCACCTCCGTTTCGCAGCAAATTTGGGATGCTGGATTTCTGGCAGCTTTCTGGAGGGAGAGTGGTCTGTGCACGTTGGAGGCGTCATGATCATGGGGGGCTTTCGCTGCTTGGTCACGCCTCCAGGCATGACTTTCTCGGCACTGCCGCCCGCTTCAAGGCCAGCTGAGGGGGACTCGTTCTCTATCATTTTACTCAATTTAGGGACCCGGGGATCTTTCTTATTTCCCTCAGTGTTGGCAAGTATCCTGTTAACCACTTCACTGCTCATGGTGATTCCGGAAGCCAGGGCTTTCTCCGGCTTGATCTTTTCCACCACCGCTTTGATGGACTGTCTCTTTTTCCTCTTATGGCTGGTTGGATCTAGACAGGGTGCCTTGATAGGGATAGTAATCCGGACATGGCTTGAGTCATTTTCAGGATTACTGACAGAACTCAAGTTCTGCCTGGCTGGTGATGCCTCGTGGGCATTGTCTGCAGGGTAGCCTTCCCTTTTCCCTTCCGTATTGTCAAATGCCTTCTGGGCATTCTTGACCCAGTCCAGGTCTGGGTTGGGTATGGTTTGACTTATCACATCTTTTTTACTGGACTTTTTCTTGCTGCCTGTAGCAGGTGGTTCTGGGGGCTCCTTTGTGACTCCTCCATCCTGATCTACCAAGGGCTGCAGCCCGCTGCACTCGCCAGAGCTGCTGGGCGGGGCTGGCGAGCCGTGGCTACCTGGGGATGGGACCACACCTCCCAAGAGCAGATCTTTGCTGCTGGTGGACAGCTGGCTCCACGTGCTCCCTGCACTGCCTTTCTTACCCTGAGCCTTCGCAAAGGAAGCCACGGGCTCAAGAGCGGGCATCTTGCTGGTGCTTGCAGTTTCTCTGCCAGACTCTGGACTGATGAAGCAATTCTGAGTGGCGGGTCCACTGTCAGAGTTGGTGGACCAGTCCATGTGGTTCTGGCTGCTGCTTTTTTGCTGGTGCTTTGGTTTTAAGGTGTCACTGGTGACGTCCTGTGGGAGGCCTGGGTCATAGTGGAGACTTGAGTGTTTCTGTGGCCGCTCGTAAGCCTAAGGGCGGGGCGGGGGAAGGAGAGAGAGAGAGACAAAGATGAGCATGTCAGAGCCATTTAAAATTCAACGTCAAGAGGCTTACTTATTTGAAAGTTGGAAACAGCTATCTATAATTCCAGAATGCTTCTGGAGGTTTTCTCATTTGCAGAAGTAAAAACAGGTGGCACTCATTCGGAACGTTAATAAGGATGCTTTAGTCGCTGTCTTCACCCCCCCCGCCCCTTCACCCCCCCAACAGGAACTTTTACCGATCCTGGTCGAATGCAATCTTGGAGTAAGAGCTGTTTAGACAGAGAACAGGCCCCGCATGTCACTTAGGCCAGTGCCGGACTAGATGCACGCAAGAGCTGAAACCTGTATAATGCAGAGTTCTGTCCATGGTGGCGGATCCCAGGAGAGACTGAACTTCCCGACTCCCTGGTCCCTTTGCCTAACTCAAGCTGCCTCTGATTTCTGTCCCTGCTTCCCATCCAGCTCACGTCCTTCCTTTGCTTTCTCCTATGGAAGTTCATTTCTGTTTGCACTTTACCCTGGAGTTGAGCATCTGTGTGCTCCAACAAGTAGCTCCCTGAGAGCCACGGCAACAAGGGAAAACAGCACGAGCTGAAGGATTGAGTGGGGGAGGTCTGAAGAATGTGTGGGGCCAAGGAGGGTGGTCAAAGACATGGAGAAGAAAAAATGAAGCAGGAAAGAAATATAAAAGACCTTCAATCCTTCTGACTCTAGGAATGGCACAGTGTTTGGGAGGTAGCCCTCTGAGGCATCCTGATGCCCAGGTTGGGCACTGACACCAATCTTGAGGAAACTCTTGGGCAGTCTCAAAAGGAACCTTGAGTCTCCTGGATGAATGTGCAAAAAAAAAAAAAAAAAAGGACAATCATTCAAGATCACACCTTCAAACTTTGTCAGCTGTGCTTTCCCTATGTGAATTCTAAAGGAAAGTCTCCAGACTCTGGCACCTTCCTTAAGACTGTTTAGTTGGGAAAAGCAGAACCTGTACTAGACACCCAACATAAACCAGTGTCTACAAAATCACAAAGGCAGTGGACAGTGAACACCTCATTTTGAGACATTAAAACTTATTTTAAAAAGATTTATATCTTCATTTTAGAGAGAGAGAGACAGAGTGAGCATGAGTTGGGGGAGCCGAGGGACATGGAGAGAGAAACTCAAGCCGACTTCGTCTTGAGTTCGGACCTGATGCAGGGCTCAAATCCCACAACCCTGAGTAATTGACTGAGCCACGCAGGTGCCCTGAGACATTAACATTTTTTTTTTAAAGATTTTATTTATTTATTTGACAGATCACAAGCAGGCAGAGAGGCAGGCAGAGAGAGAGGAGGAAGCAGGCTCCCCTAGAGAGCAGAGAGCCCGATGCGGGGCTCGATCCCAGGACTCTGAGATCACGACCTGAGCCGAAGGCAGCGGCTTAACCCACTGAGCCACCCAGGCGCCCCGACATTAACATTTTTTAACGTAAATATGCTAACATTATTTCAGATAGATTTTAAGCCATGCTACCAGTACAAAGAAGCATTCCTCAAAGTTTACTGTAAGTCCTGTTTTATACCCATAAGTAGTAAACATACAGGATGCATTATCCGAAGATTTGTTAAAGAAGGGAAAAATACTAGTAAACTGAAGAAAGCTTTGGATAATATCTCCACTTAGAAGTAAATGATGCTTGGCTTAGTGGATTTGGGAAGTTTTCACCGGTAACATGTGTCTGTCTTTATCTACATATCTATCCATGTATCTATCATCTATCGATACCAATCTACTTGCTATTGATGCGCTAGCATTTATATTTCATTAGAAAATATTTTTCATAGTCCCTGTTAAGAATCAAAACATAGATGCCAGAAAGAATGATGGGTAAAATTCAACACAGTAAAGCAAGTAGGGTTTCCTTCACACCAGTGTTTGGAAACCCTAGTTTTATTTTCTGCCTCCCTGATTTTGAGAAATATTTTTTATACTTCTAGTATTGGACTCTATTTAAGTATCTTGAAAGAATCTCCCCCAAGCTAAGCCCAGGAGAAATTTTAGACAAAAAAATGTATTTCCTTTTTTCCTCTTCTTGCAATGGTTGGTGGACACCACCATCACCACCATCTAGAGAACTAATTCTGCCACATGATTTGTCTGCTAGGAATTACTGCTGGGCACATAGGCTGCTGTCCCCTTTTCAGAAAAAACAAACAAACAAACAAAAAAAAACAAAACCCAAAAAACAAAAAACAAACCCAGAAATCTTATTCATGGCATAAAATATTGAATGCCACTTATCTTTTATGAATTAGGACTTTGCCCATTTGTCATTTGTGCTTTAGATTTTAGTTGGCACTAGGTGTATACTCACAGGATGACAAGTCTACAAAAGGCTTGGAAACAAAATGTCCTACTCTTTAGGGCAACAGTATAATTGGTTAACTCATACTAGAATATTTTTGAGAGTTAGTGGTGGCACTTATTAAACATTGCCATGGGACAAAAAAATCTGACTTACTCTTTTGGACCCCAGCAAAGCAGGACTTGTAGCCACCCTGTCTCCCCTACTCCCTCCCCCACTCTCCCTTCCCCCCTTCTCTAGATCTACATCTTTCCTAAGTCCACACAAGGGCTTCCTGGTGAACCTGGAATTCTTGGTCCCTGATTATCACCAGTTTTTCTTTTTTTCTTATTGCTCCATCTTCTTGTTCTTGGTGCCTAGCAGAATCCTTAGTTAACCCTTTATGTTCAATTCCCAGCTCAATCGTAGGGAAGCCCCTGCCTTACCGACATACTCCTAATAGAAGTTTTCATGAAACCCTGTAGGTCATCTTTGTTGGACTTTTATCTTAGTTTTAATTTTATATTTGATTTGTTCGTTAGTTGAATTAATACCAGTTTCCCTTTCTAGCCTGTATACACCATCACAGAAGTACCTGGCACAGCACCTGGCAAACAGTAGGCACTCAACAAACGTTTATTGAATGAATTAAGGAACACACATTTTGCGATGGGTATTTCACTTTGTCAACCGTGAGATTAATGACCTGTATATTACAGCATACTGTCTGCAGACAGAGTTACCTCCTCCAGACTATTTTCTTATGTCATTCCTTCTGCATGCACCAGTGTCTCTCCCAAAGACAACCGTCCCAATCCTCCTAATGTTATATGCCATTTATTTGTGCATTTTTCTGTCTCCCTCTCCCAGACTGTAAGAACTTTGAGGTCAGAGACTCCTTTATCTTCTTATCCCTTGTGCCCACAACAAAACAAACCATGCAGAAAGTTCCCAATAAATGTCTGTTGAGTGAATAAACAAAATCATGTTTGAGATGCCTATTACCATGACAAAATATGTGGCTGCCCACAGAGGAGGATAAACTGCCAATCATTTGTTTGATAATGGCTCATAAGGAAATTGGAGCACTCAAATGCATTAAGTAATGAACAAAAAAATCCTTCCCCTGTACCGAAGGACTAAAGGCACTTGCAAGGTAACTCCTCTTCGGGGCAGTTTTTACTGTTCGTTCTCCCTCATCTCCTGTTAATTATTTCACTTCCCCATTAACTCTGCCTTTGGGGAAGGCCACGTGACCGTAAGGGGCTGGATTCCCCTGAGACAGTTGAAAGGTGGGGCCTGCTCACTTATACCCAGGGCAGACCGGCTGCAAGTAATGAAGTTAAGTGTGCCTGGTTCCCAGTGCCTCCATCGGGACACTGCCTGATCTCATTGTTTCTACCATTTCAGCTGCAATTTGCCCTGCTGGGAGAGTTCCACAATCAAAGGGCAGGGAGGACAAAAGGGAAGCACAACAAAGGATCAGGATTAATGGGGGGAAATGGTGCTTTAAACCCTGCACTGAGATGGGCTGCAGAGAAGGGGCAAGGGGGACTAAGAAGGAGTACTCTCTAAGGGGTCCAGGAGAACATGGCTTTTCTCCAGCCTCGGCTGATGGCTATATCCCCTTGCATTTCACGGAAATCCCATTTCTTCATCTGTCAGCCATGACATATTATATACACAATGGTGAAGCTGTCAGTTCCAATATGTCCTTCACTGAGAATGGAGTACTTACTCCACTGAGACAGGGATGGACACGGCAAAACAGGCCCCTAGCTCAATGCTGGCACGGAAGGGGAAGGGGGGCAGAGGCTCCCCCTCCCACCCTGCCAGTGCTCTGGGATAGTGCTCCCATGGGGGTCATGGACTGGGAGCTTTATTGACCCACTTAATTCCCCTTTCCATTTTCTCCTTAGATTCTGTGTTTTTCTGGGAGTAAGACCTGAATCTTTAAAGGCCTCCATACTACCCTCTGTCCACAGCAAGGGCGTTGCCTAAGATGGTTACCAAATAAGGGAGGGCCTGATGACATTCTACCTTGGGCCAATTATTTTTGTGGAAAACTTCTAGTATCAACTAAGCCCAGTGTTATCTCTTGGCTGTTCCCACACCCCCAGAACTGTTGTGAAACACACAGTCGTTTCTTTTAAAAGATTTTATTTATCTATTTGAGATAGAGGGAATGAGAGAGAGAGAGAGAGAGAGAGAGAGAGTGTGCATGTTCCAATGCGCTCTGGCACAGGAGCAGGGGGGAGGGGTAGAGGGAGAGGGAGAAGCAGACTCCCTGCTGAGTGGGGAGCCTGAGGCGGGGCTTGATCCCCGGACCCTGGGATCATGACCTGAGCTGAAGGCAGACGCTTAACTGACAGGAATCACTCAGGTGCCCCCACACAGTCATTTTGAAGGTGTGGCTTAATTTTACAAGAACAATACTTTCCATGCCCATTGAGCCTAGATGCCAAATGTTCATCAGTGAACCACCATTTTGAAAACTAGACATATTTCCTTCCTAAAGGATGTGTTTATGGAAGCAAGTTCTTCTGGAATGTGAAGAATTATTTTGTAAAGTAGATAACTATCCCCTTCCCTATAACCAATGCATCATAAATCATATACATTTAAATTTTGTACAAGTTAGATTTCTTTTGAAAAAGCACTTGAT